AGGAAGGTGGAAACTTAAGGGCTCGAGTGCGTGGAGAAGATGTCTGGTATACGGACGGCTCCAAGACGGACACGGGCTCCGGGGCCGGCTTCTTTGGCAGTCGAGAGGGATGGAAGGAGTGCATTTCTCTCGACAGTTATGCCACGGTATTCCAAGCGGAGATTGTGGCTATCCTAAGCTGTGCTCAGACCGTGCGGAGTAGAGTAGAGGCGGGGGGGCACATCAGGATTTGTACGGACAGCCAGGCAGCCATCAAGGCGCTAGGGGCTCCGACAATAACGTCGCGGTTGGTTCGAGAGTGCAGGTGCGTTCTGAACGAACTGGCGAGAGAGAGAGAAGTCACCGTTACCTGGGTGCCGGGCCACTCGGGCATCCAGGGTAATGAATGTGCGAACCAGTTGGCAAAAGCGGGTTCAGAATTAACGATGGTAGGACCGGGGCCGGCCCTGGGAATCCCCTTTTGTTTAGGAAAAGGGAGGATCAAAGAATGGTTCCGCAGAGAACATCTAAGACACCGGAGAGTGGAATCTGAGTCCAAATGCAGACAGGCTAGAGCTCTGATGGGAGATACTCCTAATTGGGAACTGACTTGGAGCATAAGGGCTCTGAGTAGGAGAGATGCCGGGGACAGCGATACACATACTGACGGGTCATGGCACCTTAAACTACGACATGTACAAGCTTGGGCGTAGCGATACATCCAAGTGCAGGACATGTGGAGACGACGAGGAACAAGCCTTCATGTGCTCAGCGACTGTCCTGCACAGGCAGGGTTGAGACACAAGATGCTGGGCTCAGCACTACTTGGGCCCAAGCAGATGAGGAAGCTGCCGGTGAAGGATCTGATTCTCTTTTGGAGAAAAACAGGTCTCTCATGAGTAAGTTTATGAGGGGAGGCACAATGGACAATGTCTGGGTGCCGCGGGCGGTGCTTCGAAAGAGGAACGCCTCCCCGTTATAATATTATTATTATTATTATTATTATGCTTGTTTTTGCTCTATATGCTGTATAAATAAAGATATTAAAGTCTAAAGTCGAAATGTCATGAAAACTATGAAAATTATTTCAGTCGTCTAGGATGTACTTTATAAATTCTTGTCGATAGATGGCTAGTATCTCAGATGTACACATATCGGCATGTATCACCGGCAACGCATGTGCAAGCCATGTACATGCGAAGCGCGGAGCACACATGTACAATGTGACTTGCGCATATATGCGGTAATCCTTCCATTCCTGCTGCTGCTGCTGTTTGTGTATCAAATCTGGCCACACAGCGGTATACGTGTGTGAAATAAAATATTTGTAATATTCCTACATTGCTGATTGTGCTTGAGAGTTTCGAAAAATATTACGGTGCGAATGATATTTGTTTCTCACTCTAGAGCAAACTCTGTGCGTTGTGCGCAAGCGTTGTATCTATACATATATCCCGTACGCAGGCTACAGACGTCGCGCACGTGCAGAACGGCCAAATCGTGGTAATATAATGTAATATCTTCTAGTTTCTATTTTTCATTGTCCTTATTGTCAGTATAAATTGTGAACATGTTAAAAATATGTAGTAATATGTAATAATATGTAATAATATGTAGTATATTGTTTTTAAATAACTAATCAAATGAATAATACGTACTAACATATTTAATTAATTATCTAACTCATGTCCTCAATGTATTTGAATATCGTTTTTAAATGCCACTTATAAATTGCAAATTTAATTTAACTATGTAATACGAGTTTGTAATTCTATTTATAACAACTATAATTGAATTATTTATTAAACTGAAAGAGATGATAATAGGTCAGGGCCTAATAGAGACTAAATGAAATGGATAATTATAAACGTTGTAATATATACAGGGTGTCCCATTTAACTTGAGACAACTAAATATTTCGAAAAATAAGCATTGTACGAAAAAATGTCCCAAATAAACTTTTAATATTATCAAGGGGGACGTCTGCCTGTGTAAAAATTAACCCGCCGCCACCGCCCCTTGGGGGTAGGGCGGGTGGCAACTTTGAAATTTCAAATGGGAACCCCCATTTTTTATTGCAGATTTGAATTCCTTGGAAAAAAATACGTAAGTTTTGTCCGAGACATTTTTTCGAATCGTGATAAATGGCGCTGTAATCAGTGAAAATTAGTTTTTGTCATTTTCTCTCACCATTGGGGTGCTTTATTTCGGTGAGTCCCCTCGCCTCTCACTATTCAATTACAATAAATGCTCGAAATAATGACTTTCCATTTCGATGCATTTATTAACTCGAGCTTGGAATGCTTGTACACATGTAGAAAGTGTATCTGGCGTTATTTGTGCGCAAGCATATCTAATACGTTCCACCATGTTTTCTCGAGTATTTGGTACTTCTGTATACACTTTTTCTTTAAGGTAACATAAAATTATTTCAACTTTCAAAATTATTTCAAAATTATTTCAACTTTCTTCTCTAAAGATAAATAATCCATTATTTATTTGCTCAAATAAAGAACGCGTCCGTAAAAAACAAGTAGCTAGCGTACGTATTACTGAAATTTACTTGACTTGAAATTTAAAGAATCCAGTTATTGAAGAATTGTTCTGACTTAATTTCTTTCATTTATTTTGTTTCTCCTTTTCAGAATTTTCAGTATTTCAGAAATTTACTACATATGTAGATGCCTCATAGTTTTGGTACGCTAGCTACTTGTTTTTTTACGGACGCGTTTTTTATTTCAGCAAATAAATAATGGATTATTTATCTTTAGAGAAAAAAGTTGAAATAATTTTGAAATAATTTTGAAAGTTGAAATAATTTTATGTTACCTTAAAGAAAAAGAGTATACAAAAGTACCAAATACTCGAGAAAACATGGTGGAACGTATTAGATATGCTTGCGCACAAATAACGCCAGATACACTTTCTACATGTGTACAAGTATTCCAAGCTCGAGTTAATAAATGCATCAAAATGGAAAGTCATCATTTCAAGCATTTATTGTAATTTAATAGTGAGAGGCGAGGGGACTCACCAAAATAAAGCACCCCGATGGTGAGAGAAAATGACAAAAACTAATTTTTACTGATTACAGCGCCATCTATCACGATTTGAAAAAATGTCTCGGACAAAACTTATGTATTTTTTTCCAAGGATCCGAATCTGTAATAAAAAATGGAGGTTCCTATTTAAAATTTCAAAAGTTGCAACCCGCCCCACCCCCAAGGAGCGGTGGCGGCAAGTTAATTTTTACACAGGCAGACGTCCCCCTTGATAATATTAAAAGTTTATTTGGGACATTTTTTCGTACAATGTTTATTTTTCGAAATATTTAGTTGTCTCAAGTTAAATTGGACACCCTGTATATATTACAACGTTTATAATTATCTATTTTATTTAGTCTGTATTAGGCCCTGACCTATTATCATCTCTTTCAGTTTAATAAATAATTTAATTATAGTTGTTATAAATAGAATTACAAACTCGTATTACATAGTTAAATTAAATTTGCAATTTATAAGTGGCATTCAAAAACGATATTCAAATACATTGAGTACATGAGTTAGATAATTAATTAAATATGTTAGTACGTATTATTCATTTGATTAGTTATTTAAAAACAATATACTACATATAATTATTTTTAACATGTTCACAATTTATACTGACAATAAGGACAATGAAAAATAGAAACTAGCAGATATTACATTATATTACCACGATT